AACACTCTTAATAAACAAAATTCAAGAGGACTAAAACAGAACTTTTTGTGCTTTACAATAAGCACCAAAAATTGATATTTAAGACAGGTAGAATGGGTGCAAAATGAAAGGAATAAAGGGGTGAGATTTCTTACCCTTTGAAGCCTTTTTCAACATGATGCTTTCCAATGGCCTTCCTGGGCGAATCCAACACCAAAGTACTAAAATTCAAGTCCCTTAGAACCTCAAAAGCTTAGACAAAGGTGAAACACTAGGTGTTTGTGTGCAATAGTAAGACACAAAACACCTAGAGCACAAAAGAGAGTGAAAGAGAGATAGGATGTGTATCTAACCCTAACCCTAAAACCAGAGCTTAACAATGGTTGTCTAAGCTCTCCAAAATATCTCAAGTCTCTAACCTTTAGGCCAAGAAAGAAGAACCTCTCTTATAGAGGCTTTTGTCTTGTAAAGCTTACAAGACAAGCTTCATAAGAGGGAGATCCCTCCATTCACGTGTATGGAGGGGAGCAAAAAGCAAGACAACTGTCTTAAAATATCTGCAAAAGCAGATGCACAGTAGTCGGCCGGCCAAAAATGCCATTTTGGCAAAAAAGAGTGCCGACCGGCACTAAAAAGTGCCGACCAGCAATAAAATATGCCGACCGGCAAACTACAGTGCCGATGAAGGCAAAAACCAGCCGGTGGCCTCTAGCCACTTCCAGTGGTGTGTGGGGATGCCTCACAAGGCATTCCCTGCCCTTCCAAGGCAAAACACAAGTGTTTGGTGCAAAACCAGACACAAAACGGTCAAGTTCGGAGATCCTGAGGCAGGGCGCGTAGCCGAGACCCCCGGGAATTTCAAACGAACACAAACAAGGATGATCGCCGAGTGTTCAAACGGTGACGTCCAAGTCTTGAGGACGGTCAAAAATAGGGTGTCTACACTCTACTGATTTCTATCTTCTTGCCATATTTCCCACTCTTTCTCTTTACTTTCTCTCCCTACAAATGTAGTATCTAAATGCCATTCTCTTTCAAATCTCAACTTCACTGCTTAAACTCAACAAATCACAATAACTAAACTACATATGTATATACAGGTTTGTGTATATGTATTATAAAAGAAGAGAGAAGATAAGAAAGCGAAGAAGAGCACCGATGTTATCTCTGCCACTTATCTCTCACTCAGTTTCGAAGACCCTAAGTAGAAGAAGAGATGGAGGTCTGGGTGGCGGTGGATTCGCACCATTGTAGATCAATCAGAGAGATCTACACAGATCGACACATAACTCAGATCTGTGTGGCCGTCGACGATCTTACACTCTAGGATAATCTCAGATCTGTTGCTTTTGTTTGATCACTTGTTGAACAATTGCCATTAGATTTCCACAATTTGCACACATATATGCCATTCTCTGGCCAAGTCTCGCCGGCAAAACTTCTCTTACATCACACTTCTATAGAAAGAGAAAGTGACGAGAGACAAAGATGGGAGAGAGAATGAGAGAGCTATGGCGGAGAAGTGGTGGTGGATTTAAAAAATGGGAGCTTGAGACTAGAATGTGAACTAGCGTTGATTGGTTTCCACCATCTCTGATCCAGATTTGTAATAGATCAGAGACCAAACCTTGGAAGTTTGTAAAGAGAGAGTCACCTATCTTCTTCGCCTTCAATGGAGGTGATTTGTTAATGGTGGCGTTGGTGGTCAGAGACGATGGAGGTAATAGGTATGGCTCGATGATTGTAGCCTCCGTGTGTGTGTGAAGATGGTGGTGGCAGTTGGAAGAGAAAAAAAAATGGGGTAGTGGTTGCTTTGAGCTTTCTTCTCATTCTCATTGTATTTGTATTGTACACAGTAACACAACACAACACTCACAGAGATAGACTCATCACATCATCTTTTCTTTCTTTTTTTCGAATTTTGTTTCTCTGATTCATTGCATCTAAGGCTTTATGTGTTTGATTTGGTTCGTAAGTATTTGATTTGGTGTTTGTTGTGATTTAGAGATCTAAAAATAGAGATGGAAAGAGAGTTAGTATAAACAATGAAGAGAATAGAGCTATCTATTTTAGTGAATGGACAAATAAAAATAAAAAATTGAACATATATATATATCTGTGCGTATGCACTGCATTATATTTGAGTGTTGGTGGTGGGAAATTTCAACAATAGGGAGAAAGAACAAGAGAGAAACCCATAGATTTTAAACAGGTAGAAAGAAACCCACAAATTTTGAACAAATAGAGAAAAAATTCAATAGATAGATGAAAATTTAAACAGATAGTTAAAAAAATTAGCAGATAGAAAGTAATTCGAACAGATAGATATAAATTTAAACAAATGATAAAAAAAAGTCAACAAATAAATTAAGGAGTAAATTGGAAACAAAATGTCCTATGAAAATAACAAAATGACTACCCACCAAACTATTTTATAAATGGTAGACCTTTGACTAACAAAAATATCTACTAGATCTAATACCTTATGCCATCTTTAGATTGGATTTATCACAAATTTTCTCTTAATTTTATTGGGGGGGAAAAAAAATCTAAGGATGTTATCGCCCATTTAATTCTTCTACATCCCATAATAATCAATGTGAATGGTTTGGAAAATATTCAGTGTGTTTTGTTTCAGTTTTTTAAATTTAACTTTTAGAAATTAAGTTTTTTGTTTTTTGTGAATATTTTTAAAATTTTAAGCAATTTTTTTTTTTTACTTTTTTAGATACACCTCACTTAAATGTATCTAAGTAGTAAAATATTAGTTAAAAAATATTTTAAAAAATTAACAAATACACAAAACTATGAAAAATGTATTGAATTTTCGTATATTTTGTTGCAGTTTTGGTACTTAGTGAATTTTTTAAAGATTTTTTTCATAAATATTATGCTGTTTAAGTGTAATTATGTTAGGTGTACCTAAAAATTAAAAAAAAAATGCTTAAAATATTAAAAACAATTCATTGAAAACAAAAAAAATGTATATGAAAAATAAAAAAGTAAAATTTTCTGAAAAGTATTTTTTAAAAATCAAAACTAAAACCAAACAAGCTGATTAATTCTTAAATATTTAGTATTCAAATAACTTTATTATAAGTTAATTTCTACATACAATAGTGTACGTTCCTATTTAGGAGGTCAGTGGTCAAAATTAACTAAACACAAATGTTGATTATTTCTCCTTATTATAAGGGTTGTGTTAAATTGTTTATTTCTGTATATTATGAACTTTTTTTTGTAGTGATTATTAATAATTAATTTCTTACCGATTGACAAAAAATAAATTAAGGCGATGGAGAAATTGTTAAAGAATCTCAGTTTTATTTGTATCGATTATTTTACTTCATCGATTTCACCTAATATGAGAGTTTTGCTCAACATGTACCTGAGAAGCCATAATGCCTTTTAACAATATTTGATAGTTCTTAAAATATTTTGTAATGCGATTTAGGACATATTAATGCATTCCACTCCACAAATTAAATGTTTTGGTGGTCGGTTGAGGACTCATTATGACAAATTTGTCATGACGTTCATATTGCCATTGCATGTAAACCATTTAATGTGTGTTGCTACTTAATATAATTTTATTTTATTTTTTGATCGGTAAAATAAAAATTTTATTAAATACATGAAATTAAAATTATATAGAAATAAAATGCGCTGAAAGAAATTTAGAGGATGCTAACTCTTCTACTACTACAACTCACATCCTAATAACCAACCTTTGGCCTTACGATTTTTTAAGTAAAGAGAACTGAAAGAAATTATTTAATAATTTTATTTGATTCATATTTATAATAATAATTTTATTTAGATGAATCAATATATATGGATGTGATAATTCAATTAATATTGAAAAATTTGTTTACAAAAAATATTTATTTTGCCCCGTGCATTGCACGAGTCAACTACTAATGTGAAAATAAAATACAATATCAAATTAGATTAAGTTGTTCTCAAATTGAAATCTTTGATATTAATACACTTTTTTTTTATAATCTTTTTATCTTTTTTACATTACGTTATCTCTCTGTTTTTTTACATATTTTTTCATAAAAACTCAAAAAATATACTTATTTAAATAATTCCAAACAACACCAGATCAATTTTGATAAGTTACTATTCTTAATAGACTTGGGCTCATTTTTTGTGTAATGCCATAATGTAATCTAGCAAAATCTTGGTAATCTCCAATTACGACCCATACATGTAATAACCACTAAATTGCTAAAGAATTTGATGACTAGAAGATTTACTTTAACCACTCAATTGATTGGTCATAACAAAAAATTCCAGTTTGTTGGAAATGATGAAAGGTAAAGTTAAAATCTAAAATATCTTCATTGAATAAAATAAGAGATTACAAATCATATTTATACATCAGTACAGTGAACAAATGAATTAACCTAACCACACTTCTAACTAACCACTGTTCCAAACTGTCACAAGCTAACTAACCACACTTCTAACTAATCTTCAGTTTAAGCTAACTGAATCTGTTACAATCTGTGAAGGAAAATATTGTCTAGAGCTGCAGGACATCACACTTGATGCACCTCTTGGACCTCTACCTTATCATGCCCCCTTAAGCTGAGAAGGGGAAGACTAACATGAAGCTTGGAAGTGAGAAAAGAAAATCGGGCAGTGGACAGAGACTTGGTGAAGATGTCAGCCAATTGATCCAAAGAAGGAACATATTTGAGAAAGAACTGGCGACGGGCAACCTTCTCACGAATGAAATGACAGTCGACTTCAACGTGTTTAGAGCGGCTATGAAAGACCGGATTAGCAGCCAAGGATAAGGCAGACATGTTGTCACACCAAAGAACAGGTGGAGATGGTTGAGGAATGTGAAAATCAGCAAGAAGCATTTGTAACCAAGTGAGTTCGGCAGCAGTGTGGGCTAAGGACCGATATTCAGCCTCGGTCGAGGAGCGAGATACAGTGGACTGTTTCTTGGAGGACCACGAAATGGGATTAGAACCCAAGAACACACAGCAACCAGAGATGGAACGTTAGTTGGTGGCATCCCCAGCCCAATTGGAGTCAGAGTATGCTGTGAGATGAAAAGAACCAGGAGCAAAGAGAAGACCATGGGAAAGGGAACCTTTAATGTAACGTAAGATACGTTTAACAGCAGAAAAATGAGCCACAGTAGGGGCATGCATATGTTGGCAGGCTTGGTTGATAGCATAGGAGATCTCAGGGCGAGTTATAGTAAGATACTGAAGGGCACCCACAAGACTGCGAAAAAGAAAAGGTTGAGAGAATGGAAGAGAATCAGCAGCAGGAAGAGAAGGTTTAGCTGAGGTAGGTGTAGCACAAGGCTTGCAGTTAGTCATGCCAGCTTTAAGAAGAAGCTCCGAGGCATACTTCTGCTGGGAGAGAAAGAAACCTTGAGCAGTGGACTGAACGGAAATACCTAAGAAATAGGAAATATCTCCTAATTCCTTCATGGAAAAAGCATTGTGCATTTGAGTTAATAAGGATTTAAGATAGGACTGATCAGACCCAGTAAGAAGTATATCATCGACATATATAAGAAGAAAGGTAATGGAAGAAGAGGTAGAATGAATGAAGAGAGAAGAATCACAACGACTCTGAAAAAATCCTTGAGAGAGAAGAAAAGAGGAGAAAGTAGAGTACTAGGCCCGAAGAGCCTGTTTCAAACCATAACGAGCCTTGTGAAGTTTGCAAACAAGAGTAGGCTGAGAAGGATCCACAAAACGAGGAGGCTGTTCCATGTATACTTCTTCATCCAACTTGCCATGTAAAAAGGCATTAGATATGTCAAGTTGTTTGAGAGGCCAATGATGGTGAAGAGCTAAAGAGATAAAAATGTGAATTGTGGGTTGTTTGGCCACAGGGCTAAAGGTATCATGAAAGTCAATACCATGTTGCTGATGAAAACCCTTAGCCACTAGTCTGGCTTTGTGCTGAGCAACGGAGCCATCAGAATTCTTTTTAACTTTGAAGACCCATTTACACCCGATAGCTTGCTTTGAAGGGAGTAGGGAAACAAGAGACCATGTGCCCTGATGTTGAAGAGCGGCATATTCATCAAGTATGGCTTGGAGCCAGACTGGAGAATCAAGAGCAGATTGATAAGAGATGGGCTCAATATCAAGAGAAGGAGAGAAGCCAGCAGAAGAAATAAGAGTAGAAGAGAAACAAGTAGAATGAGATTTGGATCGAGTTTGCATATGATGAGAATTGATGGCAACAGGTGGAGGAAGAGGTAAAACAACATAAATAGAATTAATAGGAATGGATGGATGGGAAGAAGGTGTAGGTGGTGAAGGATCAGAAAGAGACAAGGCAGAGCTAGGCTGTGCAAACTGGGCAGGTGGTGCCAGAGCAGAGGACTAAGGCTGTGAAGAGGACTGTGGCTGTACAGAAGGAGACGCAGGCTGTGAAGAGGACTGTGCCGGGACAGATGTAGACTGTGACTGTGAAGAGGACTGTGGTGGTGTAGATGTAGACTGAGAAGAACTATGCTGAGAAGAGGGTGACCAAAAGAAATCCTGTAAAAGAGGAAGAGAAGAAACAGAAGAAACAAAAGTAGAAGAGGAAAAAGGAAATTCATGTTCATGAAAAGTAACATGTCTAGATAAATGAATGTGACCTGTCTGAGGGTCTAAACATCTATAGCCCTTAACACTGGGATGATATCCTAGAAAAACACAAGGAGTCGACTTAGGAGCCAACTTATGAGAAGCATAAGGTTTAAGCCAGGGGAAGCAAAGACAACCAAAGACTTTGAGTAAAGAGTAATCAGGAGCAGTATGATACAATAACTCAAAAGGAGAGCAATTATTAAGAGAAACACTAGGTAAACGATTGATCAAATATGTGGTAGCAGGTATGGCATCAAACCAATAAAGAAGAGGCATAGAGGACTGATGAAGAAGAGAAATAGCAGTTTCAGTAAGATGTAAGTGCTTCCTCTCAGCCACTCCATTTTGAGAGGGAGTATGTGGACAGGAAAACTGATGGTGAATACCATGAGTGTGAAGATAATGTTGAAGAGGATAATTCTTGTATTCACCACCTCCATCACTACGAAGGATTTTGAGAGGAAAACCAAACTACAAAAGCTTTGAATTCCATAAATTTGGCACACACTTCACTTTTATAAACAAGAGGATAAAGCCAAGTGAATCTAGTAAAATCATCAATGAACAACACATAGTATTTGTAAGGAGAAGCATATTTATTAAAGGGACCCCATACATCACTGTGAATCAAAGCTAGTGGATTATTTACAGTGGAATTAGACAGTGTAAAAGGTAGCCGATGACATTTGGCTACAGAGCAATGTACACAAGAAAAAGTACTTTTATTGGAAGCTACAGACAGAGGTAATTTGTGCTTAAGCAAATGAAACTTAAGAGTAGAAGGATGGCCTAATCTCTGATGCCAAATGTCAGTGGAAGCAGCAGATGTAACTGAACTACTGTAGGCATGTGAGGAAGGAGTGGTTGAATGGAGTTAAGTTGATGAAGATTATTAGTGATATGATCAGAGGCAGCTGAGTCCAAAAACCAGGGAGAACAAGAACCATTGTCCTCAGTTAAAGATGTAACATATGCCTTTGACTGCTGAGACTGATATACGGTTGAGAATGAGACTGATATGGCTTTGATTGCTGTGATGAAGACACTTGTGAAGACTGAAATTGAGGATCTAGCCGATGCCAACAAACAAGAGTTGTGTGATTGGCTTTACCACAGATTTGGAAAACAATGCCAAATTGTTCCTCTTTCTTGAGATCTGCCACGAGAGGATCTTCCTGAATAGAATCGAGTGCCTCTATGTGAACCTCTGGAATCACCACGAGAAGAACCTCTGTTATGATGATAAGAGTTAAATCCTCTAGAAGTATTAGAGTCTTTCATAGTTGCATAAGCAACAGTTAGATCAGAATTTTGTTTTAATTTTCCTTCAATGTGAATAGCTTCTGAACAGAGTAGAGCAAAAAGTTCCTCCATAGAAATGGACTCTGCACGAGTTCGAATAGCTACTTTAACTGCATCATATTCAGAAGGCAATCCATTCAATGTAAGAAGAACAATATCCTCATCTTCTACAAATGATGAAGCAATATTCAACTGATCAATAATGCTTTTGATTTTGCTCAAATACACTTCCATTGAGTCGGATTCCTTTGAAATAGAACTTAATTTGTTCTTTAACTGGTAGATATGAGACCTAGAGAGAGAGGTAAAGCGTTTATCAAGAAATTGCCAGACCTGAGCACTGGTGTGAAGATGTAACACAGAAGTGAAAATCGTAGGAGAGAGAGTAGCAGTGATGCAGCTGAGTAGATGCGCATCAATCATCTTCCATCTAACAGCTTATGGATTTGGAATCTCAATTCCTACAGATTGTCGCACTGTGTCAACAGGACACTGCTTTGAGCCATCAACAATGGCGAGTAGATCTGTTGCTCAAAGCAGATTCTGCATTTGATTCTTCCAAATAACAAAATTCGAGCCATCCAGCCTCACTGTTACAAGAGAACTGAGATTCGATAGCAGGAGATTGAGATTTGAAGGAATAGCAGAGGACTCCATAGATGAATCTGGAGAATTGCTCACGAGAGCTTCTTGGTGCTCTGATACCATGATGAAAGGTAAAGTTAAAATCTAAAATATCTTCATTGAATAAAATAAGAGATTACAAATCATATTTATACATCAGTACAGCGAACAAATGAATTAACCTAACCACACTTCTAACTAACCACTGTTCCAAACTGTCACAAGCTAACTAACCACACTTCTAACTAATCTACAGTTTAAGCTAACTGAATCTGTTACAATCTGTGAAGGAAAATATTGTCTAGAGCTGCAGGACATTACACTTGATGCACCTCTTGGACCTCTGCCTTATCAGGAAATACCATCTGAACAATATCATATGGTACTTCTCTAGGATACTAAAAAATTTCTCAATTTTTAAAATTATTTGGGTTCAAAATTTAAAATTTTTCAATAATTATGTATTCAATTTTTTTTTTTAAAGACACTAAACAAACTATCTAAAAACAAGCACACTTTGGGTTCAAAATTTAAAATTTTCAAAAACTTACGTATTTAATTTTTGTAAAGTCAGCAAACAAATTCTAAAAAACACACATTTTGGGTTCAAATTTTCAAAAAGTTACGTATTCAAAATTTTAAATAGTTATGCATTCAATTTTTTTTTAAGTCAACAAAAAAAAAACTCTAAAAACAGAGACAGTTTGAATTCAAAATTTAATTTTTTTCAAAACTTATGTATTAAAAAATTACGAAATGATTTATTTACCGAATTGTTGTTGTCCGAAATTGCCCAAATTTGTTGATGCCAATCGTCCGGTTTGACGACCGGCTTCACCCTTGTGTACCGCGGTCGTCACCCTGTCATTCGGGTGACTAGCCGGACGACTAACATCTACAAATTCAGGCAATTCAGGCGAAACCAAATTCGGTGGATGTACCATTACTCAAAAAATTCAAGACCAAAATTAAAATCACTTTCTAAACCGAGTGATGTGCAAGAAGATGATTGGTTGATAATTAAATGTTCTCTAATTATCAATCAATCATCTTTTTGACATATCATTGAATCTATAAAATTGGTCTAAAAAGTGGACTTATAGATCATTTTTTAAAATTTTAAAGTTAGCAAACAAACTCTAAAATGATGGCATTTTGAATTCAACTTTTTTTTTTTTCCTTTCAAAAGTATGTATTGAAGGAGGGCACATGTCACCACTCACTTCATAAATCTGTCATTGCTACAAAGTTTAAACACTCTCTCAAGTTGAGATGATAATTTAAGGGAATCCAAACCCAACTAGAAATTATCTACTATGTAGCAACACAATTGATACCATAGTTTGTGTTGTGTTTCAATACTTTCATGTGAATCTGTCAAAGTCTCTTTGATAGCTTCATTTATGCTTTAAAATCTTGTGAATCTATCACTTCTATCTCCCATAAGTATCTGTGGCTTTGTGTTTGTGTTGCCCCTTCTCTTTTCTTCATTTCTATGTAAGGTTTTGGTTTTGGTTTTATTTTTCAAGTTTTGTTTTTTTCTACATTGATTGCATTTTGTTGTTGGAGCCTTGAAAAGGCCTGGAGTGTGATTCCTAGTTTTTTAGTTGTTTATATTTTTTGTTTTTTGATAAGCACAATTCCCCATTAGTTGCTTCATCCGTTTTTGTCTACCCTGACCTGACTATATTTTGAACATTTTTGTTTTTTTGAACAGTTGTCTACCCTCACTATAAACATCTAACGTCAGGTTTTACCATTTTTTTTCTTACCTAGTTAAAAGTAATATTTATCAATAATAATAAAACATTAAAAAAGAAAAAGGTAGTGGAACACAACAGAATAATCATGGTTTTCTCAATATATTTAATTAATTTTTTTTTTTTTACAAGTATTCAACTTAAGTTTTATCCAACTCATTACACAAAATACGAATTTTGTTGTATAGAAAGATAGTTACAGTTTCTTAACGACTCAAATAATAATGAAAGAATAATTGAATTAACCGACAATTTCAAACAAAATGAATGAGTTGAAAAAGGAATTTATTTAGTTAGTTACATTTATCATGTATTTTGGTTATATTATATCCTAGCGATGAAGAAAAATATGAATTTATTGTATGGAAAGATAATTATAGTTTCTTAAAAGCTCAAATAATAAAGAAAAAATAACAAAAATAATCATAAGTTGACTTCAAAAAACTTAAACAGTTCATTTATAACGAGATATTAATAGTTACGGATAAAAACATGTTGCAAAAAGGTATGAGCTTAACAATTTTTAATCTTAGTTGGCTTAATAAAGCGATAACGGTACTCTATATTGTTGCCTAGCACAATTAATGTCTTAGATGGTAGGATGTTAAGATCAAAAAGAAATAGTGACATTGATAATGCTAGTTAACATTGTATGGTGCTAACGGTATTCTATATTGTCGCCTAGCATAAATTTGTTATATTGCTACGAGGAGTCTTTTGCGTTTAATTAAAATTTAAATTTTATAATAATAACATTTTAACATCTTGTATGTCTTTTAAAGTTTACAACATAATAGTCACTGTGTCCACAAAATATGTAAACGCTTTACTTTGAGAGATAAAGACACTAATTCATAAAATGCATTTTCCATGGTAGGCTCAAGTATTGTATGGCCTATTTTGGCAACTGGGTTAAAAGTTAATTTTTTGACTTTTTAACTTTTTAAGTCACACTACTTTTTACTTTTTCATACACTTCATTATTTTTCATACCTTTTTTTAAAAAAAAAAGGTCAAAAAAAGCCAAAATGCTAACTTTGCATAATAACCTAATATTTAATTTTATTGAAATTTTGTTAAGCGTACCTTCGTCCATGAAATTATGTTACATCCCAAAACCAATCTGATTGTGAGCATTCTGGACAATATTAATTCTTAAATATTTAATATTCAAATAGCTTCATTACAAGCTGATTTTACACGAGGAAACTGCTATTTTTACTACTTACAAAGAAAAAATTAAGCAGTCCCAAATCGCAAAAAGTATTAGATTTACCCGAGGAAAATTACGCAGTACTATTACGACAATCCATGTGGTATGAAGTAATATTCTAAAGGTTTTGCTTTCTTCCGGTCCGTGATCAGATTGAAGGGTGCTATTGCATTTGTGGAGACTCACTACGAGTCCTATTTTGATAATCTAAATCGTTCAATATGTAGAACTCGTCGAATACTATATACTTGTAAAAAATAATGTTGATTGAATATCAATAGTTACGTGATCAAATCAGTTTTGTATATAAAAAAAAATAGACTGTAAAAAAATAAATAGTTGACAGAAATCTGATCTGATGAAATAGTTATCGATATTCGATCGATGTGATTTTTTACAAGCATATAGTATTCGACGAGTTTTACACATTAACTGTTTGGATGATAGAAAGGGGACCTGTGGTGTGCCTCCAAGGACCCAACAACACCCTTCAGTCCCATATTCTAAAATTACTACATAATTTTCGGGGTTTTTAGTTTAAGATTCATGATATTAAGATTTTATAAAATAAATGACATATAATATTTTCATAGTAGTTGGAGTCTCACAATATTTTCACAAATAAATTTAGGTACATAGAAATTTTTCTTCATAGAGAAATTTTAGCTCTTTAAAAAGAAATTTCAGTTTCACAAAGAAATTTTAGAAATTTCACAAAGCATTTTGTCTTTGAGAAATTTACATTTTTTTTAATAATATTATTAAGGGGCCTTAACTAATAAGAAAAAATATATTGGACCTCTCTTACTACCAAAAGTTAGAGAGAAATATTTCACTAATTTCTCCATAAATTTTTGTGAGGAACAATTATGTAGTACTCATGGAAGAAATAAATATGAAGCAAGCACGAGTTAAATTGGCTAAAATAGTTAATAAAAACAAAAAATAAAAAACTAAAATAGTTAATACGACAAAATGTCACATTCAAATCATAATCATTTCATTGTTTTCTTTTACAACCATCAATTCAAATAAAAAACATCTCAAACACAATTTTTTAACCAAACTAAAATAATTAAATAGGCAAAAAGTTGAGCCAAAAAAAAATCCATCCCAAACTAGCACATAATACAAATTAGAGCAATGATGCAGAACTGTAAAAATAAAGTTCTAATATGAGCTCTAGTGATGTGGTAAAGTGAAAAAAAAAAATAAAAAAACAAAAACATAAATCAAAATATCACATCACATGGTGGAACTCACCATTAGAGTTCTCTCTCGAGCTCTTCCTTCATAGCCCTCAAACATTTTCCTACAAATTATGACATATAATGCATCCCACCCCAAAAATTAAAAGGAAAATCACTTTGTTTGGTTTTAAATAAAGTTTTCAAATTTTTATTTATCATGTTTTGTTATTTAAAAAAGAAAATTGTATTTTGAAAAAAAAAATTAGATGCGTCTAAAAATTAAATATTTGTGAAGAAATTTTATTTAAACACCTACGAAACACGTGTATATAACAAGTACTGGTACAATATGAATACATCAATACAACAAAATTTTTAAAGTAAAGGAAGGGCACGGTTGGATATGTTTATAGCAAAATATTTAATTTTAATTTAAATTAATACAAAAATTAATTAAATTGTTGTCAAAACTAAAGTATAAATCAAAATTAAATATCATATATTAAATGACTTACAAATTAAAACTTAATTTTCAAATGTTAAGCATAAAAAAATAAAATAAAAGTCTAATGAAATTAATTTCACCTGAAGAAAATATTGTTTCATCTAAAATTTGTTTGGATATATATTTTGAGATCTAACAAAAAAAAAATTTTTAAAAATTATTTAAGTAACAAACAAGTATGTAACAAAACCTTACAAACTATCAATACATATCTAAACATAAAGGCATAAGTAAAAACAAAAATAATTTTTTTTTATGTATAATTTGACTCCAAATTAAATGATTAGGTAATCAGTTTGAGCATTCATAATGACAAACTTATCTTCATTTTCCATTGCATGTAAACGAGTTTGGGTGTCAACACCACCAAATTTGGCAGTTTCACAAAACTCATAGAAAGGGAGGGAGAACCAGTCTAGCAAGAGAGTGAGTAGAAACCACCATCTTCTCTCTGTCTCTCTCTCTCTCTCTCTCTCTCTCTCTCTCTCTCATGGCAGAGACCAATGACGACGGCAGCGGCACCCCTAGGGTTACGATTACGTACATGGAGTGCAGGCGAAACTACGCCGCCCACACTGCCGGCCTCGCCGTTGATGGCCTTTTGTATGTGAAGATTACTGATCCGACTGTCCAAAATCAGGAATCTTACATCTGCGCCACCTGTGGTTGTCATCGGAGTTTCCACCGCAAGCAGGAGGAACTCAACCACTTCGCCGCCGCAGCACCGCTTTCACCGCTCCCTCCTCCGCGACCACCACGCCGATCACATCGACAGCCACCACAGCCAGTACCGATACAACCACAACCAGATCCACCAAAAAAAGATTGGATGGAGATGGATGATGAATCCAAGCCACTGAAGAAGCGAAAGATGGATGATAAATCGAAGCCACTCAAGAAGCGAAAGGTAATCGGAACATGCAACTCATAAATAAATAAAAAAATTGGAAATATGTCTTTTGATTGAAAAACAAGATCTAATTAGGAATTTTTTTTTTTTTTTTTTTTTTTTTTTTTTTTTTTTTTTCAACCTGTAATGAATTTTCATATTAGTTGTAACCGGGTGCTTCTAGTTTTAACTTGTTATATTTTAAAGCTGTTCAATCTCTCTCTTTCTCTCTAACTTTTATGGGTAGCTATGGAATTAAGGCTCTTCAAACAATTATGACTTCTTTATGGGTAACTATGGTATCAAGGCTCTCCAAACAATTATGACTTGTTTAGGAATTGACTGTTTTAATTAGTGATTGACGTCAACTTTAATTGGCAATGAATTCAACAAATTCAAATTTAATGAAAAGTTAAATTAAATTTTGGGATTAGTCACCCGTTTCCAAAAAAAAAAAAAAATTGTGGTTATAAATAAAATAAAATTAGGTACGTAAAAGTTGATGGCATGGCCAAGCGTACAAATCAGTGGCCCTAAACCTCAATTGTAACACCACCTAATAATGTGATTGTTTTTGGAAAAACAATAATTACTCATAAAATTTAGGTTAAGTTTGGCAAGTTGAAAAAAAATCAAAAAGTCAAAAAGTTACTCAAAAAGTTATCACTATTCACCAAAAGTCAAAAATTACGACTGCACAACTCTCAATCCTAATTTTTCCTTACACACTAATTTATATAATTTTTTAATACACATTTTTCCACAAAAAGTCAAAAAGTTAACCCAAACATCCATATTTTTTTCCTTAATTTTTTAGTCCAAAAAGACAAAAAGTGCACTTATTTAGGACACCTCAAACAACCCCTTAATTATAATTTTATTTAAAAAGTGAAAAGATGGTTTAAATTTAAAATTAAAAAAAAAATAAAAATTCTAAGCATATACATGGGTGGGACTCATTAAATATTTATTTTATCCCGTGCATTGCATGTGTATTGTACATGTTTTGAACATGTCTATTATTCCTATAAAAGTAAAATAAAATTTCAAATCAAATTATGTTATTTTCAAATTGAATTTTTTTAAGTTTTACACTAATCTAATTATAATATGTTATGATTCTTAATACACTTGAGCTCAATTTGTGTGTAATTAATCATAATCAACCATAACGTAATCCTAATAATCTCCAAGAAATAAATTTTGTAGTTCAACATGGAATTTTAGGATTGTTTTTTTCAAATGAATACTTAATGATAAATATGACTCTAAACAAATGCCACCTTTGAAATTGGTACAATTTAATATTGTTGTGGGTAAAGAAATGTTGTAATCTTACTAGATTATTAGAACAAATACTTGAAAATTATCCCTTAATATTTATTTTACTCCATCCACATCTTGTTTACCAAGAGAGTGAGAGGGGAAAAGACAGAGAAGTTGTGAAATTGTTCTCATCAATTTCATAGATTGAATTAATAGAATGATAAAGAGATATTAACATTTATGCTCCTAATGATGTATCTTCTAGGGCTACTTTTTGGGACTCTCTTTGTAATTTAAAATCTGAATTTCCTAAACCTCGGTGTTTGGGTGGGAATTTCAACGAGATCAAGAATGTTGAGGAGCGCAAAGGATGCTCTAGAAGGGATAGAGGAATGCGAGATTTTAATAATTTTATGAGTAAATTGGAAGTGTCTGATTTACCCATGTTAGGTAGGCAATTCACATGGAGTAATTCCCAGGATGGAGCAAGGTGGAGTAGGCTAGACAGATTCATGTTTAATTCAGAGTGGCTGGTAAAGTTTAAGTTCAAACTTTGGGGGTTATCACGAGTCATCTCAGACCACTGTCCAGTGCTTTTATTGATGATGAAATTGATTGGGGACCACGTCCTTTTAAGTTTATCAATGCATGGATTTTGCATCCCTTATTCCTTCCACTTGTCAAGAAAACATGGGTAGAAACAGAGGCTCCTGGGTGGGCTGGTTTTGTTTTGTTGAAAAAATTGAAAATATTAAAGGAGGTCATAAGGAAATAGAATGTTGAAGTTTATGGAAACTTAGCTCTGAACATCAAAAAGGCTGAAGAGGAATTACATGTGTTAGATCTTGCAACTAAAACCAGAATTTTGGATGAGTTTGAAATTAATAGAAGAAGGGATGTAAGAGATGAGTTGTGGAAGTTAAGCTAAACAAATGAGTGGTTATGGTTGCAAAAATCTAGACTCACATGGGCATTGAAAGGGGACCATAACACCTAGTTTTTTCATCTTATGGCCTCGAGTAGACAAACTAGAAATCTTCTTAGCTCTGTCTCAATGAATGGTATTGTGCATGAAGATCCTCAAAGGTTGAAATCTGAAGTGTTTATTCACTTTAAGAAGTTGTTCTCTGATGAGTGGAAAATAAGGCCTAAGTTGGGTGGACCCTTTCAACATATTGATAGTGAACAATCATCTACAATTCTGGAAGCTAAATTTTTTGCAACAGAGTTCTGGGCTGCAATTAAAGGTTGTGATGACAATAAAGCTCCTGGCCCGGATGGGTTTAATTTGATGTTCTTTCAGAAGTGCTGGCCAGTTTTCAAGAATGAATTTATGTGCTTCTTTACGGAATTCCATGAGCATGGGATGCTATTTAAAGGGCTGAATAGCTCTTTTGTGGCTCTTATCCCAAAGAAAGATAATCCTACCAGCTTGGTTGACTTTCAACCAATTAGTTTAATTGGTTCAATATACAAAATTTTAGCTAAAGTGCTTGTTGCGAGGCTAAAGTTGGTATTGCCTAAGATAATAGAAGATGTGCAATCAACTTTTGTTAGGGGGTAGGAATATACAAGATGGGGTGCTTATTGCAAATGAAGTGGTGGACGATTGGAAGAAGAAGAAGAAAAAAAAATGGCTAATTCTAAAGCTTGATTTTGAGAAAGCCTATGACTCTGTGAATTGGGATTTTTTATTCTCTATATTGGGTAATTTTGGGTTTGGCAATAGATGGATTACTTGGATGAAAGCTTGTGTGACTACGGCAAGAACCTCAATCCTAGCAAATGGTTCCCCAACTGCTGAATTTAACCTTGAAAAAGGTCTTAGGCAAGGGGATCCTCTGTCCCCTTTCTTATTCATCATTGTGGTTGAGGGCTTGAACATTTTGCTAGCCAGAGCAAAAGAGTTAGGGCTTTTAAAGGGTGTACCAGTGGGGAATTGTGAAGAAACCATATCACACTTGCAATTTGCTGATGATACAATAGTCTTTTGCAAAGCTGAATGGGTGGAGGTATTGAATGTGAAAAGGATCCTTAGATGCTTTGAGATCATGTCTGCCCTCACGATAAACTATCATAAAAGTAATATTTGTAGAATAGGAGTTTCGGATGAGATGGTGACTAACTTTGCGTCTAAATTGAATTGTATGAAAATATCATTACCATTCACTTATTTTGGTCTTCCCTTGGGTGCAAATCCTAGAAGGAAGAGTACATAGGCAACTATAATTGAGAAGTGTCAGAGGAGGCTTGCATCTTGGAAAAGAAGATTTCTTTCTTTTGGGGGTAGGCTTACACTCATCAAATCAGTTCTGTCTAGCTTTCCAGTTTATTATATGTCTTTTTTTAAACTACCTGAAGGTGTTGCAAGAGCTATTAATAGAATCCAAGCTTCCTTTCTCTGGGAAAGCTCTGATTTGAAAAGGAATATCCATTTGGTGAAATGGGAAGTGGTAACCAAGAGTAAAAAGCAAGGGGGTCTGGGGGTTAGAAAGGTTAGATATTTAAATGACTTTCTTTTAGCAAAGTGGTGGTGGAGATTTGCAATTGAAACCACTGCCTTATGGTGAAGAACCATCTGTTATAAATATAGAATTTCTGGTGGTGGATGGTTTCCCAGTCATTTGTCACCTTTCTTATTCATCATTGTGGTTGAGGGCTTAAACATTTTGCTAGCCAGAGCAAAAGAGTTGGGGCTTTTAAAGGGTGTACCAGTGGGGAATTGTGAAGAAACCATATCACACTTGCAATTTGCTGATGATACAATAGTCTTTTGCAAAGCTGAATGGGTGGAGGTATTGAATGTGAAAAGGATCCTTAGATGCTTTGAGATCATGTCTGCCCTCACGATAAACTATCATAAAAGTAATATTTGTAGAATAGGAGTTTCGGATGAGATGGTGACTAACTTTGCGTCTAAATTGAATTGTATGAAAATATCATTACCATTCACTTATTTTGGTCTTCCCTTGGGTGCAAATCCTAGAAGGAAGAGTACATAGGCAACTATAATTGAGAAGTGTCAGAGGAGGCTTGCATCTTGGAAAAGAAGATTTCTTTCTTTTGGGGGTAGGCTTACACTCATCAAATCAGTTCTGTCTAGCTTGCCAGTTTATTATATGTCTTTTTTCAAACTACCTGAAGGTGTTGCAAGAGCTATTAATAGAATCCAAGCTTCTTTTCTCTGGGGAGGCTCTGATTTGAGAAGGAAGATCCATTTGGTGAAATAGGAAGTGGTAACCAAGAGTAAAAAGCAAGGGGGTCTGGGGGTTAGAAATGTTAGATATTTAAATGACTTTTTTTTAGCTAAGTGGTGGTAAAGATTTGTAACTGAAACCACAGCCTTATGAAGAAGAACCATCTGTTATAAATATAGAATTTCTGGTGGTGGATGGTTTCCCAGTCAGAACCTTGAGACTAAGTACTATATGACTTGGTTGGACATCTTGCAGGTTGCTGACTGTAATCACAATCTCAAGGATTTTTTTGTAGCTAACTCAGAGGTAATTGTAGGTAATGGTAATAGAGTCAAATTTTGGATTGATGTTTGGGTGGGGACCAGAGCACTTTCAGAAGTTTATCCCAGATTATACAACGTGTCAATTGATAAGCTCAGTTCTTTGAAGGACTGTATTGAACGGAAAGGAAATTCTGATGGATGGAATTTGAGATTCAGAGGACCACTAGTTGCTTAGGAAGAAGAGGAGGTTCAAAGCTTGTATATTTTGTTGAATGCAACCATCCCTGTGTTGAGTAACAATGAGGACTGGCTCAAATGGAATGCATCATCTTCTGGCAAATTTCTGGTGTCTACACTTTACAAGAGAAGTGATTCAACAACTGGTATGGATTCTCACCTTATTGATTTGATTTGGACAAACATCTCTCCCCCTAAAGTTCAATTCTTGGGTTGGTTAGTGTGGAAAGGTAGGATCAAAACTTCTACTTACCTTCAACAGCTTAGTGTGCTTGAAGCCAATGTCAGTAACCTATGTATCTTCTGTAATACTATTTTGGAAACATTAGATCATGTATTGATGGGTTGCCCTTTAATTTGGAAGGTCTGGTCCCATTTGATGAATTGGTGGGAAATTTATTGGGCTATACCAGGGTCTTTTGTAGGATTATTGGAATGGTGGATTGGTTTTCAGTATAAAAAGTTAGAAGCAAGATTGTGGAAAGCTTTGTTGCTGGCAATGGTATGGTTTATTTGGAGCACAAGAATGAGTGTAAGTTCACTAATGCTCAGCCAAAGTTTGGTGAGTTGCAGGAACTGATTAAAGTTAGAGTGGCTTTGTGGATTAAAAGCAAAGTTGCAGGAATTTGCTACTCAGTACAGGATTTTGTTTCACATATCCAGCAAATTAGAACCCCATCAAAGGATATTTAAGGTGGTATGTTGCTGCTCTTGCTGAATGCTGCTGATATTTGTTGCTGCTCTGTGGATGTTGTATGTTGCTGCTCTGAGGCTGTGTTGGTCTGCTCTTCTTGTGTAGCTGCTATATGCTGGAGTCTCAGGAAGGAATGGTGGCTGAATAGTGGCTTCTTCAACCTCTTCTAGCTATTGCTGCTGCTGTTGTGATGGTTTTGGTGTTGTTTTGATATACTTAGTTTTGTTTTGTTGCTGCTGATGCATTGGTGATATCCTTTATGTTATGCTGGTCTAAGGGTGATCTATTGGTGAATTTGTTGAGGGTGATTTGTTGGTGAATTTGCTGTAAGTCTTGGTTTGGGTGATCTCTTGGAGGCTAAGATGCTGCTGTCAATAGTTACAAGGGAAGGGGGGGTGTGTTTGCTGGTCCCAATTAAGCTTAGGTTGTTGGTGGCCTTTACTTATGTTGTATTATTGATGTATTGTTGTTGTTGTTGGTGATGAGATGCTGCTAGCACAAATTTGCATTACCAAACCTGATCTCAGACTGAGGATTTGAAGTAGTGGACGCAATCAAAAGTGCATGTTTTGTTATTGATCTGTTCTGCTACTAATGTTAATTTTGTGAACCTGTTTCTGTGCTTTGTTGCTCTGTCCCTTAGTGGAATGATCTGTTAGCTGTGGACTGATAATATGCCGAACTAATGCTCCAACAGAAGAGGGTTATGGATGAATGGTATTCAAGGGGCGTGTTATGTTGATTTTGCTGTTAGGCTGAGCTGCTGAGAGTGTAGTTTTATGGTTGCTTCTGTTTGTTTTGTTCTTGTTTTTGCTCTGCATGTTGGTTACTCACCAACTTAGAGCTTGAAGTTTGTGCTAACAGATGATTTGGTGTGCATCTAGGTGCCAACCTCGTTCGGATCAGAATGTTTCACTGTGATGCTTTTTGCACCCTCTTCTTTGTTGATGTACGTTATCATACTCTGTATGTTTTTCCATCAATAAAGTTTCTTTTTTGCTGATAAAAAAAAATTCAATAATGTTATAATAACTATATTTGTCTATTAAAATGTAAAAAATGTTATATAATTTTTTTTGCCCTTTATTTCTTCACTTGTAGATACATATAAGTGGGTCCCATTGCATTTATTAATGGGATTTGGGTTATCTAGATTGAACATGCTATTGGGTTTTGTGGATCTCACAAAGGGCCATATTTAAATGATTTGAACTATGCATTTTGTTTAATTATACGTGTAAATCATCAATTAAAAAATCTTATCAGTCTTATCATCTTCACTTGCTAAACAAAATGGCAAAAATAAAATAAAAATAAAGGCTGATTAAAATTTTAACATTGACACACACACACATATATTAGTTTTCATTTTTTAATTTGTACAAGAGAGTGAGAGGGGAAAAGACAGAAAAGTTGTGAAATTGTTCTCATCAATTTCATAGATTGGATTTATAGAATGATAAAGAGATATGATTAGTCAAAATTTTCAAAATTGTTATAATGACTATATTTGTTTATTAAAACGTAAAAAATGTTA